GCTTAGTAACACATACAGCTGTTCCCTCACCACAGTGCAACAGTGAAAAGGGACCCCTTTCAAACAGTGTCGCGTTACGAACGTTGTTTAAGCGACATACACCGGTATTGCGGTATTTTAAAAATTCATATCAAAACAAAAATAAAGACTAGTATTCGGTATGAACCGGTATACCGCCCAGCACTATATATGAGTAAATTCTGAGTAATTTGCATGTAAAACGGACCTTCCCGAAAACTCTCCTCCGGATTCACAAATGCTTCGTAAACGTCCGATTTAATAGTTAAACATGTGTATGTTAATGAATTCCAATCATTCGTAAATAGGGCACTCGTGCACGCTCATTCACAATTACCATAACCCCCGCCTATGAATTACAGCTACGCAAATTGCGTGTCCAGGAACACAGTGGAATATTCTGGACTCGCTTCTCAGGTTTGAGAGGACTAATAGGCCATATGCCTAACAATAAATATTCAAATGAACGTGTCCATCAAAGCATTTTTAGCCAGGTGCTCTTCTGAAAATGGCCAGCTGGTGGCGCTTGAGAACTCTTTGGTGGCACAGCGTTTTTCCAGCTGAAGATTTGGTTGCTATGATGTGGAATATTCACGGCAGTAACATATTACTAGTATCTCATTTCGAAGAATATAACTGAATATAAAAATGCAGTAACCAGTAATATTAACTTCTCCATTGTTGCTCAGTCGTTGTACAAGTAGGATGGTTGGTCGGTGTAGCATTTGTCCCATTGATTGGACGGCTTGTGACAGTGACGAGCGCTGCGTTTTACCCAAAGTTGAACAGTAATCAACTGCCTACACCACCGAAGCCGTTGAATTCAATGCGTCTTTTTTAATATTGAGTGTCAACCAGACAATGGTGGGCGGAGCTACTGTAAATAGAGTTTGCCAACAAGCGCGCTATTTGCACTTAATGTAAAGACACTCTGAATTGTTTTTCTTCCCCTCGCTTGGGCCCCAAGTGCGCATGGGCCCCTGGGCCTGTGCCCATAATGCCCATTGGATAAATCCAGTCCTGGTCATATCATATACATACAGAAACTCAAAGGTCTTGACGGCAACACAAGTTTAATTTGAAGAAATTGTGGCAGAAATAGATTACTATTGTACAATAGAATATACATCCTAATGTAGAAATAATAATAATGTTTAATTGTTTAACTTTGATTAAAAGATCAATTAAATTCATATTTTATGCTTTCAACAGAAAAATTAAAGTACAAAATACAGAATTTCTTTAAAAATAAATAAAATTAAAAGAGGTACTTAAACTTAAAATTAAGAGGCCTTATTATTGTAAAAACAAAAATAAATGAAGTTATTCTTATTAATTAAATTAATTACACTTACTTTTTGATTGTTAAAAAAATTAAACTATTAAAATGGAATCTGGTAAATATAAAATGGAATGTGAGGAAAAAATAAATGTATTTTATAGAGCCCTAAAATTCTTTTCCATTTATTCTTACAGACTGAGGGATGGATCAGAATTGTTGTCTGTAATGAACAGCGTGCTATAGAACGTGATTATAGCATTGGAGTTGTTGAATACGAAACATTCAGGAATACACCACTGTTGAAATGTTTGGGCTGGAGTCTACATTTATTTAATTAAAAAAAAAGTGATATTGTAAGGATAATCCAGCCCTGCCTGCATGTGATTGGTTGGTGATAGGGGGCAGTCGTGGCCTAATGGTTATAGAGTCGGACTTGTAACCCAAAGGTCGTGGGTTCGAGTCTCTGCACCGGCAGGGATTGTAGGTGTGGGGAGTGAATGACCAGCGCTCTCTTCATCCTCAATACCACGACTGAAGAGAGACCCTTGAGCAAGAACTGAACCCCCAACTGCTCCGTGTGTGTGTGTGTGTGTGTGCACTTGGATGGGTTAAATGCAGAGCACAAATTCTGAGTATGGGCCACCACACTTGACTGCACGTCGTCACTTTTTTTCACTCTAAGGCAGTTGGGTTGTATGATATCCATCTCATGTTCTCTCTGATACTTCCTCTTTGTTCATCTGCAGTGACGGTGAATCTGTCTGGTGTGTCTGATAGCATCTGTGCAGGGGCAGGTGCAGCGGTCATGTGCTTTTGAAGAACACACTGATCTGAGGGCGTGGCCTCATGTGGGATGGGGGCGGGGCTAATGAACACACAAGGGCGTCATCTGACCCCGAAGCAGCCGCTCATTCAGACAGTGTTTCAGGGAGTAACATCTAATGATCCAGAAGCAGCACTGACACAAACAAACACCTGAAGACTCCAGAGTTTATTAAATGCTGTTAAGATCCGCAACATCCTCCAGGTTTCAGACGCAGCGCTGGTAACGGTTGGTGGGAGTGGCTGTGGCTTGCAGTGGGCGTGGCTCTGGGCAGTCGTGGGCGTGGTCACAGCTGTTACTGTCTGCAGTGAGATCAGACTGATGTGATGGATGCATATAACACACAGATCTGCAGGCCGCCGCTCAATAGAGACGATCTGTATCCGCCTGAACCTCACCGCACAGCATGATGGGAAGTAAAAAAGCAAACAGGAGGTTTTCACTGGACAGCTCAGGGTGAGTGTGTCTGCTTTGTTATTGCTAACTAAAACCATTTAAAAAATAAAATAAAAGATAAATATTGGATGAAAATGAACTTAAACATTAGAAATAAGTATATTTAAGGAAATACACTACAGGCAAAAACACAGTTTCATGCATCTGTTCATTTTAAGATTTTGGCTTTTCATAAAGTTTTTTTTTCATACACTTTTAAGTGTTTATTGTATTGCACTTTATCTATGCGTCTGTAGGTTTCAATCTTTAAAGAGTTTTTTCACTTATAAACAGCAAACTTTAGAGTTTTATTCCTCTCTGTATTCTGTAGGTTTGTTCATATTTCATTCACACTGATTTATAAAGCAGTTTACTCCTAAAAACATGGTGAAAATGTGTCTGTTTTCTGTCTGCTGACAGTATTTTCTGATTTATGGAGAAAAGCCTTTAACTCTAATATGACAAAATCAAGAATTATGAACCTGATTTATCCAATCTTCAGATTGTGGAAATGTATTCAAATTAGTAAATATTTAATTAGAGAATGCCTAGATAATGTCTGTTAGTTCATTTTTTACCATACTCACCTGCCTTAAGTACTAAAGTTACTAAAACTGAAATAAAACTACATTTTTAAAAAACTAATACAAATGACAAGTGATTAAAACAAAATTACTTAGAATTAAACTTAAAAAATGCAACAACAAAAAAAATGCTTCTAATTTTTAAAAATGAACACATTCCAAATCTAAATAAATAAATACTGTAATAGTGTATAAAATACTAAAATATAAAAAACTAAAATACTAAAATAGCACTGCTTTAGGGACAGAGATAAATCCTCTAAATAAGCTTCATGTTCATCAGAGCCTTCGTCAGTGACACATTTAGTCAGATGTATGAACTCCTCAGACGCTCACACTCACACACACTCTCTCTCACACACACACACACACACTCTCTCTCACACACACACACACACCCACACACAC